CCCCCACCTGTCGTATTTTGGCATGTATGTTCCTAGCATCTTTTTTACACTTTACATATACTATGGTTGTGCAGGCCCTGCTACCACCTTGAGCACAAAGAAACGGGGATGGTCAGCGTGCAGTGCAAAAAAAGGTACCTCCAATTTGGAGCGCGGGGCGGGTCATTTCGGGAAAAGGGTCACTACAAAATTCCTCGAGTTCACCGTCGCGCAGCGACTTCGAACGCATTTCAGGCATGTCATTCTACGGTGTGCTGCAAGTGTGGCCAATGGCACGCCCATGACCTCGGAGGAGGTGTCAGGGGAGTTGGGTTGTGCAGCGGATCATTGGGCGGGGGGTCATTCCCGCTGCCAGCGCCCGGGAACGACTCCGCCCCACTGTATTTCCGAGGGGTGGGGAGAGGAGAGTGCTATTTATGCAAATGGGTCAGCAACACACAAGGCAGTGTCCGCGTGGTTCGAGAAGAGGCTAGGGCCAGCACAGGTGGCGCCTTTCATCCGAGGAGCGAACAGCTCACTCAATGAATCCTTTCATTCGTTGGTGTGTAAGTATGCTCCAAAGCGGTTGCGGTTTCGTGGTAGTATGGTGGCACGAGTTGCATTAGCAATTTTGCACTGGAACAGTTGTGTGGACCGCCTCGTGAAGGGGTATCACATACGGGTGAGGCGAGCAACACGGGTTCAACAGGGCTCGACGGTTCGTATCTTGGGGCCCATGGATTGGTCTTGGGTAGAAGAGATCATGCAGCAGTGGTTGCGGGCGGGTGAGGAGGACCCTGAGGAGGCTGACGACGAGGTGGAGGAGGGCGGAGATGAGGCAGCCAGGGATAACTGTCTCACCGAGAACATCCGGGTGGTGCGCCCGTGCACCGTTGCTGGACCAGCCGCCTCCGGAGACTCGACGCCTATGAGAGATCTCACGCTGCATTTCAACCCCGGCTGCATTGACTCCCCCGGATGCGGCAGTGGTATCATTGGGGTTGGCACCCCTACGCCCATCCGAAGAGATGCACCAGCCCGATGACGCCTTATTGGTTGGTCGAGTGTACTTTTATCGTGTTCTGTTTGCCATGCATTTTGCTGCACCATCACACTTCCTCCCATGCACGTCCGCACCTTTGCCACCATTGCGCCCAACCATTTGAGAGTCTAGGATTGTTCTCCAAACTGCTACACCTAAGGCACAATGCCCACTTCCACATGCCCCACCCGTCCCCACTCCCATGCACAGGGATTGCCGAAGTGCGCTGAATGGTGCGATGCCACCGGGTCACCGTTGCGCCACCATGGCTGATTCAACCCCTGCAGTGGTTGCCACCGGTAAGTAGTAGCCTTGCTACCAAATGCGCTTGCCTAGATGGAGGGCGGGGTGTAGCACAGACGGGAAAAAGAAAGGGCGGGACAACTGACGGGTGGAATGCCAAGTGGGGGGGTGGGAAAGCTGGGAGGAAGAAAGTTGGGAGGTTGAGCTAAGAGGGGGAAAGCTGAGTGGGGCGAAGATGGGAAAGGGAGAACTGAGAGGAGGAAAGCAGAGAGGGGGTGAGCTGAGAGGGGGAGAGCGGAGAGAGGGAAAGCTGAGAGGGCGGAAGCTGCGAGGGGGGAAGCTGCGAGGGGGGGAGCTGAGAGTGGGAGAGCTGAGAGGGTATTGCTGAGAGGGGGTAAGCTAAGAGGGGGAAAGCTAAGTGGGTGAAAGCTGAGAGGCGGAAAGCTAAGAGGGGGAAAGCTAAGAGGGTGAAAGATGAGAGGGGGAAAGATGAGAGGGGGGCAACAGAGAGTGGGTGAGCCAATAGTGGGAGAGCTGAGAGGGTGAAAGCTGCGAGGGGGTAAGCTGCGAGGGGGTGAGCTAGGAGGGGGGAAGCTCGGAGGGTGAGAGCTAGGAGGGGGAGTGCTGAGTGGTGGAGCATAGATGGGCAGGGGAGAGCTAAGAGATGGTGAAGACTGCTTTGGGAGAAGCACAGCGGGGGTATTGCTGAGAGGGGGTGTGCTAAGAAGGGGAGAGCTTGGTGGAGCAACGTTGGGAAGGGTAGAGCAACAATGGGGAAAACACCGAAGGGGATGGACATGAGGGGGACAGCTTTGAGGGGAGGAGCTAGGTGGGGGGGTCTGAGTGTGGGACGGCCTGCCAGAGTCTGCCATATCATATCACGAATTGCGATCACTTTTATTCCAGCAGCTGCCTGACCATGCGTTATGTGGTGTAAAACAACTAATTGCTTCAATTTTCGGAATCTGATACCATGCGTATAGCGTTGCCTGACCGCCTCGTCACGTACAACGATAGTGCAGTCGCCCATGCTTTAGGGGATTGAGGTTCATTCAAGGGGTCTTTGCTTGGTTTTCTTGTGGCATGTTCCTTTGGGCGGCAGGTTGCGCCCCCAACTTGCGCATGGTAATGGTTGGGCGTCTCAAGATCCTAGGCGGAGGTGACACAGATGGGGTCATCGGTGGTTGGGGACAGTATCCGCTTGCCATATGGGTCTTGAGTTGTTGAGTGTTACAATAAACATGGTTTTAGGATGTTTGTTGGGTAATCAAACAGTGAACATGGCCATGAGGCCGTGCAACACGTGTGTCCAATGGCCACTCTTGTGGCTCACGGTTTCAGCTAGCCCCCTTCTGTCTGGAGTATTTATGCATATGAGTCTTGTGTTCCTGGTTGTGCCTTCTCCAAACCTACTAAACCTGGCATGGTGTGCCAAACAATGTGCAAGGTCCACTGACCCTGGTACTTGTAATATGATGTCGGCAGCCGAATTATAGAATAACAAACACGGCTCTTAGTGCAGTCAAGAGGGGAAGCTCCAAACACACCCGTAGGAAGCCATGGCTCCTCCCGTATATTGTGCGTTCGTCCTCCCCGTGTCTCCCACCTTCCCCCAACTTGCCTACCCCCTGTCATTCTCCCGTGGCCATTCCCCCCACATCCCCCCTCCAGCCACCCTATGTTCACCCTGCAGACTGCTCAAATTCCAACGTCCAGGCACCCTCCATTCCCCATGCAGTCAGCCCAAGTTCCTCCGCTACTCTCCTCCTCCGATCCTCTGCTCCTCCACTCCTCTGCTCCTCCACTCCTCTGCCCCTCCGCTCCTCTCCTCCTCCGCTCCTCTCCTTTGCCGCTCCTCTGCTCCTCCGCTCCTCTCCTCCTCCGCTCCTCTGCTCCTCCGCTCCTCTGCTCCTCTGCTCCTGCTCCTCCGCTCCTCTGCTCCTCCACTACTCTGCCTCTCTGCTCCTCTCCTCCTCCGCTCCTCTGTTCCTCCGCTCCTCTCCTCCTCCGCTCCTCTGCTCCTCCGCTCCTCAGCTCCTCCGCTCGTCTCCTCCTCCTCCGCCCCTCTCCTCCGCCGCTCCTCTCCTCCTCCGCTCCTCTGCTACTCTGCTCCTCTATTCCTCCCGCTCCTCTGCTCCTCCGCCCCTTTTGCCCCTCTGCTCCTCTTCTCCGACGTTCCTCTCCTCCTCCGCTCCTCTCCTCCTCCGCTTCTCTGCTCCGCCGCTCCTCTGCTCCGCCCCTCCTCTCCTCCTCCGCTACTCTGCTCCACCGCTTCACTCATCCTCTGCTCCTCTCCTCCGCCCCTCCTCTCCTCCTCCGCTCCTCTGCTCCGCCGCTCCTCTGCTCCGCCGCTCCTCTGCTCCTCCGCTCCTCTCCTCCTCCGCTCCTCTCCTCCTCTGCTACTCTGCTCCTCCGCTCCTCTGCTCCTCCGCTCCTCTGCTCCTCCGCTCCTCTGTTCCTCCTGCTCCTCTGCTCCTCCGCTCCTCTGCCCCTCTGCTCCTCTCCTCCGATGCTCCTCTCCTCCTCCGCTCCTCTCCTCCTCCGCTTTTCTGCTCCGCCGCTTTTCTGCTCCGCCCCTCTTCTCCTCCGCCGCTCCTCTCCTCCTCTGCTCCTTTCCTCCTCCGCTCCTCTGCCCCTCCGCTCCTCCGCTCCTCTGCTCCCCCGCTCCACTCCTCCTCCGCCGCTCCTCTCCTCCTCCGCTCCTCTGCTACTCCGCTCCTCTCCTCCTCCCGCTCCTCTGCTCCGACGCTCATCTCCTCCTCCGCTACTCTGCTCCTCTGCTCCTCTGCTCCTCCGCTCCTCTGTTCCTCTGCTCCTCTGCTCCTCCGCTCCTCTGCTCCTCCGATCCTCTCCTCCTCGGCTCCTTTCCTCCTCCGCTACTCCGCCTCCGCTCCTCTGCTCCTCCGCTCCTCTGATCCTCCGCTCCTCTGCTCCTCCGCTCCTCTGCTTCTCCGCTCCTCTGCTCCTCCGCTCCTCTGTTCCTCCCGCTCCTCTGCTCCTCCACTCCTCTGCCCCTCTGCTCCTCTCCTCCGACGCTCCTCTCCTCCTCCGCTCCTCTCCTCCTCCGCTTCTCTGCTCCGCCACTCCTCTGCTCCGCCGCTCCTCTCCTCCTCCGCTCCTCTCCTCCTCCGCTCCTCCTCTCCTCTGCTCCTCTCCTCCTCTGCTCCTCTGCCCCTCCGCTTCTCCGCTCCTCTGCTCCTCTGCTCCCCCGCTCCTCTACTCCTCCGCCGCTCCTCACCTCCTCCGCTCCTCTGCTACTCTGCTCCTCTCTTCCTCCCACTCCTCTGCCCCTCTGCTCCTCTGCACTGCCCCTCCTCTCCTCCTCCGCTCCTCTGCTCCTCCGCCGCTCCTCTCCTCTTCCGCTCCTCTGCTACTCCGCTCCTCTGCTCCTTCCACTCCTCTCCTTTTCCGCTCCTCCGCTCCGCTGCTCCTCTGCTCCTCCACTCCTCTGCCCCTCTGCTCACCATACTCCTCCGCTCCTCTGTTCCTCCGCTCCTCTGCCCCTCTGCTCCTCTCCTCCGACGCTCCTCGCCTCCTCCGCTCCTCTCTTCCCCCGCTCCTCTGCTCCGACGCTCCTCTGCTCCGCCGCTCCTCTCCTACTCCGCTCCTCTGCTCCGCCCCTCCTCTCCTCCGCTCCTCTGCTACTCCGCTCCTCTCCTTCGCCGCTCCTCTGCTACACTGCTCCTCTGCTCCTCCGCTCCTCTCCTCCTCCGCTCCTCTGCTCCACCGCTCCTCTCTGTTACAATATATCCTATATCTATAGCATGTAGTATGTTAGTGTTGTAGTGTAGATGAAGGTTTGGGTTGTTTGGGTCAACCAACCCTTTACCCCTATTCTCGAGAGTTCCAATAATGTTGGCCAACCCAACATTATTGGCCCTCCTATAATTGGTGGTCAACCTTCCAAACCATTATCGGTTCACCCAATAATGGTCGGGTTGATCAACCCCCCTTTGACCTAGGATTGGCTACCTAGGTACAAAGCCCTGTATCCTCCCTCTCTCAATTCATCGACTCAACTTCTTTCATGCTATCAGAGCATTTCGATCCCCTCCTGTGAACATTTCCCCGCTCCACCTCACGCTCCTCACTAGCGCATCCTAAGCGCTAGCCTGGGTCACTCCCCTGAACCTTTTTTTTTTCCTGCACCCTCCTCCAGTCCCTCACGGCGTCCTTATTCCTCCGAGCGGAATTCCTGCCCGTCCTGAAATTTCGACATTTTGGACGGTGCGCCCACCCGACGCGGCCAATTCGCCCGTCGCCCCCTCCCTCGCAGCCTTGCGCTGCCTTTCGTCACGGTGTTTTCGCCCGACGCCCCTCCACTCCCTCGTCGCGGCGCTCGCGTCATTTTGTCGCGGCGGCACTTCGCTCGACGCCCCTCCTTTCCCTCGTCACGGCGCTCACGCATCCTTGTCGCGGCAACATTCTGCCCGACGCTCCTCCTGGCCCTCGTCGCGGTGGCCTATTGCCCGACGCCCCCTCCCTCTGCGCGCCCCTCGCCGCATCGTCGCGGCTATTTCTGCCTGCTGGACGCCCGCCGCACACCTCCTCGCCCGACGCCTCCGTCACGCGCAGTCAGTCGCGCCACCTCCGCGCCTTCGCCCGTCGCACTTGCAAACGCTGTACGCAGCGGCGGCGCCCGTGGGGAGTACTGCGACGACCCCGCCGCGCCATCTGCCGTCGCGTCACCAGCAACTCGCCGTGGCGACGCTGGTCCCCTTCAACACCTCCCGCTGCAGCTGCACCAGCCGCGCCGTCAGCAGCGACATTGGCAGCCGCAACGGTGGCTGTACTAGCCACGACAGTGGCAGCTGCAGCTGTGGCAGCAGCATCAGTGGCAGCAGCACAGCACGAGGGCTGCAGAGCCGGCGGCAACAGCAACAGCGACGGCAGAAGCGGTAGCAGCATCGGCAGCAGCAGCAGCAACAGCAGTGGCAGCAGCAGTGGTGGCATCGACGGCAGCAGCAACAGCAGCATCGGCAGCAGCAGCAGTGGCGGTAGCAGCAGTAGCATCGGCAGCAGCAGCAGCGGCAGCAGCAGCGGCAGCAGCAGCAATGCCCCACCATGGCGACCGACAGTGTCAACGTTGACACAAGCTCCATCGACAAACTCGAGCTTGTCAACACGACGACGGCGGTCAACTGGTATTCATTCTCCTGCAAACTGCACATGCTTCTCCGCTCCACTTGGGTCAGTGGCTACCGCCTCTCCACGGTAGTCCTCCGCGAGCCTGCGGGCCTCCAGTCCACTGAACTTGTCTCGCCACCCCCCCCCTGCTGCTCCCCCTCCGCCTGGGCCCGCCCCTGCAGCACCTGCTCCTCTCCTCTCTCACGACGATCTGCACACCTTCGCCACTCGCATTGCCACCTATGCCACCTCCCAAGACACCTGCACCCGCAACCTCGATGCTCACACCGCCCTAGTCGCCGAGCATGATGCGGCCCTAGCCCTTGTTCAAAAGCACACAGATGCTATGGTCACTCACGCCACAGCTGTTGCTACCTTCGATACCCGCAGTGAGGCATGGTGCACTGCGGATATGAAGGCACTCGGCATCATCTTCGCCTGCCTCCCCCACTCCCTCAAACGTGTGCTGGACCCGGCCTCCTCCTGGGCCCTCTGGACCGAGCTCCAGGCGACCTATGATCGCCAAGACCTCGCCTCCCTCCATGCCCTCTACCGCGAGTTTCACTCCATCACACTCGACACCTGCACCGGTGCCGCTGACTTCACTCGTGTCGACCCCTCCCTCCTTAACTGGCGCCTGATGGATGGCCTCACAGAAGCATATGCTGTTCACAAAATTGCCTACACCCAAATCCTTTCCCTCCATGTCCCCACCGCAGATATCATCACCTGGATTCTTGCAACTGAGAATGAACTCAACCCCACCGACTCCCCGTCCCTCAACTACACCCAGTCTCGGGGTGGGCGTGGGGGACGTGGTGGGCGCGGCGGACAAGGAGGACGCGGCGGTCACGCCACCCCTGCTGCCACCTCCCCTCCTCCCATTCGCTCACCCTCCACCGGCACACTTCCTCCTTGCCCTTACCTCATCCGATTTGGTTCCCAGACCGGAAATCGCTGCCAGAAAACCACCCACACGGCTGATGCATGCTTCAAGGTACTCACCGATGAGTGGTTTGCCCGCGGTAACACCGGCTCTCCCCCACGCTGGTCCACCATCCATCCTCGTCCCACCCTACAAGACGTCCGCAGTCTCCCCGCCTATCAGCCATCCACCACGCAGCTCCATCAAACACTCACCTCCTATCTCCCGCCTCATCTTCACCACCACTTCAACCTCCTCCCCACGCAACAGCAGCAGCCGCCGCAGCCACAGCAGCAGCAACCGCAACAACAGCAGCAGCAGCAGCCGCAGCAGTCTCAGCAGCAGCAACAATCTGCACTCAACACCTTGATGACCTTCCCGTCCTCCAGCTTCATTGGCCAGCTAAGTGCTCCGACCGTCTCTGATTCCATGTATGCCTCATCTATCAATGAAAATTCATTCCAATACACTGTGACACACAAAACTCCCCACCTTGTAACTCTCTCCTCCACCCTTGAGTTCACACTTGATAGTGGAGCCACAGAATCTGCTCTGAAAGACTCTGGCATCCTTCACTCCCTTCCCGCTCCCCCCTCTGTCCTTGGAGCAGACTCTAGCTTTCGCATACCATGCCACAACACTTCCACCCTCCCTTGTCCTCTTTTTCCCACAGGAACAGTAATTGGCCTCCATATACCTACCCTTCCTATCAATCTTCTCTCTCAACGTGCCCTCCAACAAGCAGGAATCACCACCATCTACCTTGGCCACTCAACCCACTGTGATCTTTACACCGCAGCCACTGGCCACCACATCTATCGCATCCACATCTGCCCCATCACTAAAATGTACACCTATCGCATCCCACGCACCACCTCCTGTCTTGCCACCACATGTTCCACAACAACCACCCCTCCCATTCTCCCCCCTACCCCCTCCCCCGTCCCTGACCCCATCCCCCCTTCCCCAAATCCACCACCCCCTCCTCCTGCCACTGTCGCTCCCTCACTCACCCAGCCATCCACTGGCACCACCGTCTTGGCCATCCCAACTTTGTCACCCTCCAATCCACCATCTCCAATCGCCTCCTTCACGGTCTTCCTCTCACCCTCCCTCCCCTCCCTCCCTCCCCAGCCCCCCCTTGCACCACCTGCGTCCATGCCAAACTCAAACAGCAACCCCACCCAAGCAACCCTTCCTATGCACCCGCACCCCTTGACCTCGTGCACCTTGACCTTTGGGAACCAAACCCACAGCCCACTTGCATGGGCCACCGCTACCTCCTCGTCATCATTGATGACCACAGCCGTTACTCCACTGTCTCCCTCCTCCGCTCCAAAGCTGAGGCCGCAGCAGCCATCACCGCTTGGGCAACCCAAGCACACACTCACTTTCGCCGCACTATCAGTCGCTTCCACTCCAACGGTGGGGGCGAATTCCTCAACCAGCACCTTTCCTCCTACTGCACAACTCACGACATCCGCCATACCCACACCCTACCCCATTCCCCCCAGCAGAACGGCATTGCAGAAAGCCGCGTCCAGGAAATCACTAAGATGGCACGCTGCCTCCTCGTCCACGCTGCATGCCCCCCATCTCTGTGGGGATATGCTCTCCTTCATGCAGCCTATCTCGTTGACCTTTATCCCCATCCCCTCCAACCCACCTCCGCTCCCACTGAGCTATGGACGTCCACCAAACCAGACGCCTCACATCTTCGCATCTGGGGCACCAAAGCCCTAGTTCTCATCCCCCCCCCGGACCGCAATCGTGCCATTGGCAAACTCACCTCCAAAGCCCTTCCATGTCTCTATCTTGGCCACAACCCCTCCTCTCCCGACTACCTCTTCCTCCACCCCCCCTCAGGCCGTCTCATTCGCAGTCGAGACGTTGTCTTCGACGAATCCACTCCCTACTACACCTCCCCCCCTCTCGTTGATCCCCTCCCCCAGATTCCCCGTCCCCTACTCTGGACGGATGCCATCTCCCCACCCCTCCTTCCTCCCCCTCTGCCCCACCCTCCTCCTCCTCTGCCTGCTCCCCCACCTCCTCCACCCCCACCAGCCTCCTCTGGCGATATCTTTGATCCCGCCCCCTGCCCACCCTCCCCATCCCACTCCTCCGCCCTCCCTTCCCCACCCCCTGCCCCTCCGCTTCCCCCCAACCCCCCTCCTGCAGACCCTGACCCACCCGAGCCATACCTCTCACTCCGACGTCACACTTGTTCCCTCGATCCCATCCTTGGGACCCCTGCACCCCTTGCCATGCGCCTTACCACCCATCTCTCTCCCACGTTTTCCTCCCCCTCTGCTGCTCCCCCCACCAGCATCCTCACCCGTCCATGGGGCGCAGTAGGTGGTCAAGACTACCGACGCGCAGCCCTCCACCATAGCACTCGACCTCCAACACTCCGCGTAGTAGAGCAGCTGAACAACAGCGCAGCAGAGAAGCAGAGCAGCCGAACAGCAGCACTGACACCTCAGTGTCTCCTTGAAGATACTCATGAAGAACTCCTCAATCTTCACATACATCACCCCACCCTAGCTCCAGTAATTCTGGACTTTGGAGGATCCCTAGTCTTCGCTTTCTCTGGCACTTCCGCAATTTTCGTGCCTGGAAACTTCCGTGAAGCCACCACCTGTCCTGATGCCCGCCACTGGTGGGCGGCCATCTAGAAAGAGTGTGAAGCGTTCATACGCAATGCCTCCTTCGTCGATGTCCCACGACCCGCCAGCAAAAACGTTGTCCAAGGGAAGTGGGTCTTCCGGGTCAAGCAGCTTCCAGGGGAAACGTCCGTCTACAAAGCTCGCTACGTCGCCAAGGGATTTACTCAGACTTGGGGTACCGACTATTGGGACACTTTTTCCCCCACGGCCAAACTTCCCACCATCCGCGCCATCCTCGACATGGCGGCTCGCCTCAACATGGTCATCCATTGCATGGATGTCTCCAATGCCTTTCTCCAAAACATACTCTATGAAGAGGTCCACTTGGAACGACCCCAAGGGTTTCACGAGCCATTCCCCCCCGACACTGTCTGGGACCTCCGTCGCCCAGTCTACGGCCTCAAACAGGCACCTCGGGAATGGTACAACAAACTCGCTTCCACTCTCCACGCCCTCGGGTTCTCCCCCTCCAAGGCAGATGTCAACTTGTTCATCCGTACCACCCCATCCCGCTTCTACATCCTTGTCTACGTTGACGATATGATCCTGGTCGCGGATGATGTAGCGGAGATGACACAGGTCAAGCGCGACCTTCAGACACATCTGGCCTGCAAGGATCTTGGGGAGCTGGAAAACTACTTGGGCATGACCATCACACGGGACCGTGCCTCCCGCACCATCACCCTTTCGCAGCAGTTCTACCTTGAGAACGTCCTCACCCGCTTCAACATGGCCAGCACCCGCCCAGTCTCCACCCCCCTTGAATTCGGCCATCAGCTCGCACCACCAGCACAACCCATCTCCTCCACCAACCCCTACCCCGCACTCGTTGGCTCCCTCATGTACGCCATGATGTGCACCCGCCCCGACCTTGCCTACCCCATCAGCGTCCTCGCCCGCTTCGTCGGGACTGGGCGCCACACGGACGAACACTGGACTGCGGCCAAAAGAGTGCTTTGCTACCTCCATGGCACGAATGGCTACGCCCTCACTCTTGGTGGCACTGCTCCTGCCACCCTCGGTGGCTAAAGTGACTCGTCCTGGGCAGACTGCCAGCCTGACCGGTGCTCCTCTCAAGGATACGGCTTTGCCCTCGGCAGCGGCCTCATCAGCTGGTGCTCCACTAGTTCCTCCGCCATCGCTCTCTCGTCCTGTGAAGCTGAGCTCTACGCCGCCACCATGGCAGCGCAGGAAGCTCGGTGGCTGTGCTCCCTCCTTAGCGAGCTAAATCTGCCCCAGCCCTGCCCCACGCTCTGGTACGACAATGCGAGCACCATCCACCTCACCAAGGACCCAGTCTTTCATGAGCGCTCGAAGCACAACGAACTTTGCTACTTCTTCTTTCGTGAGCTCATTCAGCACGGACACCTCGTGGTGAAGAAAATTGGCGCTTCCGCGAATCTCGCTGATATCTTCACCAAAGCACTCCCGCGCTCTGCTCACACCGCCCTTCTCCCTCTTCTGGGCCTTCGCCCTCCTCCCCCCCCTTGATTCAGATGTTGTCCCTTTCTCTTCCACTCCAACACTCTCATTTCTACATGCTAAGGGGTTGTGTTACAATATATCCTATATCTATAGCATGTAGTATGTCAGTGTTGTAGTGTAGATGAAGGTTTGGGTTGGTTGGGTCAACCAACCCTTTACCCCAATTCTCAAGAGTTCCAAAAATGTTGGCCAATCCAACATTATTGTCCCTCCCATAATTGGTGTGTTAGGATTAAGGACGGAGTCTAGGTGAACTTAGGAGCTAGAATTATTCAAAATATAAATCCAAAATTCTGGACAGAAAAGTCGTCTCCAGAAGAAACGTCGTTGACAAAAAATTAGTCGTTGGAATGTCGCGAAACTCGGGTATGTTGTAGCTTTAAATCTTAGCTCCCGTTTCCAATTTGAATCACGTTGATTGATGGAGTATTCGCGACGCTATGTCTTTCGACACTCAGGGGGGTATGCTGTAGGAGAAGAACTTAACTCAATCTCAAAAGTTCAATCAAAGTTCAATGATCTCATAAGGAATAAGAGGAGCAAGAGAAAGGTTGAAAGGGAAGAGAGGGATGAGAGGGAAGGTCCCAAGAGAGTCCCCAACCAAGGAAATCCCATAAGCACAAAGATTCCCTCCCTATAGGAACCCCAACTTTGACATTTGTCATTTCCCAAACAGTCCAACCAAGTTGGCCACCCTTGCCAACCTAGTTTGGTTGTTCCCAACCAATTTGCAGCTGCTACAGTAGAGTGACGAATTTCCCCAACCCCAAAGGTCCCAACTCCATATAGAGTCACCCCACAACTTCACTTTGTAACCGCCGTAATTGTAACGCAAGCTCATGAACTTTGAATATTCATAGCTTTCACGTTCTTGCTCCGATTGAAGGGATTCTTGTTGCGTCGGAAAGATCTTCTCAAGATCTATCGTCACAAATACCTGCTCGGACAGAATAACACAAAACACATTCCCAAACTCCAGAACACACAATACATAATTGTTTGCACGCATTCAAACCACACATGCAAGTTGAAAACATGGGATGGGAGGCAGACAGAATGTGATGACATGTGATGGCATCATACAACATGGTGGTCAACCTTCCAAGCCATTATTGGTTCACCCAATAATGGTTGGGTTGGTCAACCCCCCTTTGACCTAGGATTGGCTACCTAGGTACAAAGCCCTGTATCCTCCTCTCAATTCATCGACTCAACTTCTTTCACTCTCCTCCTCCGCTCCTAGGCAGACGGAAAAGCACGAGGGAGAATGAGTAATGAAATCGCATGGGCTGTGGGTACCTTTCATGCATGGTACTAACCCTAACTCCCTCGTCGCACTGCTCGAGCTCGTCGCACGCGTTTCTGCTGCAGGGTCTCGGGCTGTTAGTGGCGCGGATTTCAACGACCATTTTTTTATGGTCCGAGGGTAGAAATCGCAGGGTACTGCGGGTGTTAGCGACGGTGCGATTTGACGGTCCTTACATGGCATTCACGGGAATGCTAAGGCGGGGCTAGTGGTCATGAGTCTGACTTTTGGTGTAAGGAAGTCTATCTTTGGCGTATCGTCTAGGCCCTGATATGCGTGTCTTGGGCACTCGGTGGTGCACAGTGGTGGTAAGGGCATGTCCAGCGCGTACGTTTACAATTCGCTTTATACGGTTCAATATGGTTTGCAGAGGTCCAACGCGGTGAAGAGCAAAAACTGCTCCCGATCGCGATATATCCTACTGAACCGTGATCCGTGTACTATAAACGTACGCGCTGGACACGCCCTAACCTGTGTATGCTGCGTACGCTGCCTTGGTTGTGGTGACGCTGGGCTGGGTTGTGCACAACAGAAAGTCCCAAAATGTATGCGCGCAGTTTCAAGTTTCATTGCCCGCAAACGCCCAGTGTGTCGGGGGCGAGGGCGGAATCGGCAGGGGGTGGCGCACGCGTGTTAAAATTTTCAGCCCCCTTTTGGTGTGCGACGAGGGTTTCTGCTCTCGCTTTGGGGAACAAGGTTACCAGTCGGAGGGTTTCAAGATTAATAATCTTGAAACGAAATTTCTGCAATTTGGGTCAACGGCTTTAAAGCGAGGATCTCAAGAAGCACGAAACCAAATCCAAAAGGTTTGGAATCGGGTTGGCGAAACGAGCGAAACAGTAACACCGCCCAATACCCCTCACTACACCTCGCAATTTTCGCGACCCCCCGAAACTAAAACCTTTGGGTTTGGTTTTCTGCTTCTTCTCGGAGTCATGCATGTCGGTGATTTGATTGCATAACGCCATGAAGACCGACACGTAATCTTGGACAGAACTCCACTGGCACCAGTTGTCCAGGTTCGTGCGTGCATTGTCCGAGGCGGATATGGGCTCGAAGCGTTCACGCAAAGCTGTACCCCACGCCTTCCACGTGCGAATCTTGGTCGATCCGAAAATCGCGGTTGACCCTTGGGCAGCAGACCCAAAGTTTCCAAAAAAACCCTATGTGTCGCCTGCCAAAAACTCCCCCTCCTGTAGTGTATATTGCCACCAATCTAGCGCAAGTCCCCGCAGTAGTGATACAGCCAGCCGAATTTTTAAATCGTCGGTAGTGATCCCAGTGGCATTTAAATAAAGTTCCGCCAAAAATAACCAGCCTGTAACAGTAGTATTCTTATCTGTGGGGTTGAACGGGGGCGGCATTGTCGGTTTGATCGTCGATGTCGTCACGATCGGCACAAATGCCGGTGCGGCTACAGTAGCGGCTGTTTCTGTCCGAGCGCCTACTGCTGTCGCTGCTGCTGCTGCTGCTTTGGCTGCTGCTCATGCTGCCACGTCAGCTGCTGCGGCGGCTTCACTATCCTTGCGCTCCTGTGACACCTCACGTGCGATTTCGTCCAAAACGGTTTCGACACGTCCGGTGCTGGCGACCTCCTCTTGGGCGGCAGTTTTCTGGCGCGAATCCTCTCGCGCCTGGCGTAACTCAGCAACTTCTGCACGAAGTCGCTCGTTGTCCTCCAGCACTGTAGCCATGCGTGTGTTGATGGCGATGAACTGCTCTCAAAGCTCGTTGAATTGAGCTTGGTCCATTTGACGAATGCTCTGCCGGGGCAGGGAGAATTCCGTAGTGTGCCTGTACTCAGGGAAGCACAAACGCTATTGTAGTTGGGCGAATTAATCAGTCTAATTCGCGAGCAACCGCTTTGCAGCTTACGTGAGGGACTTACCCCCCCCCCCCCCCCCCCCCCCCCCCCCAAAAAAAATCAATTCACGAAATCGGGTGAGCGAGGAAAGTGGCTCTGAATACCAGATGTTATGTATGAACAAGCAGAGTAGCGCGGAAATGAATAACGAAGTGTTCACTCACAGAATGACAATACAAGGAATGGCAAGCCAAGATATAGGAACACCAGAGCTACTCTAACCATAAGATGGGAAGGTCCGGGAAAGAGATCGAAGGGTCTCGAAGTGACGAAGCGAGGCCTGGAGAACTCCCAAAGGTCGAACTAGAAGGTTTGGAGAAGCCGAGATGGTTCTGTCATAAAGGTCCGGAACTGTCCCGAGGCTTCGGGTGTGTTCGAGCGTACGCGATGGCAGTACCGCTCGGTAAGGAATGGAAAATTCCTTACAAAACTGCACTGCATTGGGTTTGCGGGAAGAAAAAAAGTTCTCTATTCTAGGGTTTGGAGGTTTGGCAAATTGCGCTTTAATGTTCGTGGGGTTTCGTGCTGGCGTGCGTGCGAAACTTTCAAGAAACTTTCGAGATGTGCCCCTCAATCAATTGAAAAAATTCTCACAAAACATTTGTTCGTTCGTACGCACGTTCACTGGTGCTGTACATTCCATGCACCCTTGCAGTGTACTCGGGAATGGTGAATAGAGAGGTTCGGGAAACAAATGGTGCATTCCGCGCTGGGGTCAAGACTTGGGGCAGAACTTCTGAGCATTAGTTAGGGTGTTTCTGGAGCGGGTGTATGACCCGAGGGTCTAGTGAGATGATCCGAGGTTGGAAAGAAATTGCCTCGGGTCTTGCTAAAAACTGACGAGTTCTGCTAGATAGTTGGCAAACCGAACGTTCGCAAACGAGGAACGACTTTCGCCAATGTATAACCGCGCAACAGGCTTGCAGGTTTGTGGTTCGTTTTTGCGACAAACTGATCGTGCTTTGCTTCTTCTCCGTCAAGCACACTAAATCCGCAGTTAGGTTGTGACAACCCGTGGCTCCTTCGGCCGCGGGTCTGCCTCAGGTCTGACACTCGCTGCGGAATGGCCCGTACGAGGTCATGCAGCGCAAACCAAAATCATGGGGCATGCTAATCTGTTCGCATCGTTTTGCGATGTTACAACTGTCAATATATGCGACACTAAAGTTGAATAGCAGATGCGATTTTCACCAGATTGAAAGGGCAGGAAATGTTGCAGCCAGCGTCAAACTAGCCTGACACAAGGGCAGCATCTGCTTCCACATGCAAGATAGGATGTACCCTGTGCTTCACACCTAGATTAACTCAGCCCTCTGAGGCATCAACCTAAGGGCTTGTCCCAAGAGGATGTTTTGGCGTTTTGACAGTTTCAGAACGTACTATATTTCACAAACAACTGCAAGGTGTACCCACAAGCGTGAACATTCCGGGTGTGTCCACGTATCGCCACGTCACCACTAATGCATGAAAAAAGCCTCGCGGACACAATTCACCTTGAGCACCAGATCGATTTCACACATTTGGTGACGTGCCCGGAAGTTACAAAAACCGCCGAACGATTCGTCGTTAGTTGGACCCCTGGAAAATTTCTTGTGCGTGTATCGCGTACATACCGTAATCACCCGGGTATAGGCGCAGCCATTTATTAAGCCCAGTTGTATTGGAAACCAAATCAACCCAGCTACATTTTGGTGTGTTCAATTTATTTTCCCATATAGTCCTCCCTATTAGCGCATGTGCTTATATTTTTTATTCGCTTACAAGCGCATGCTGCTTTTTGAACCTAATCCCTATAAGCACATATGCGCCTATATCCGGGTGATTACCGTAAGATTTTGCGAAAATCAGCTATGGTATCCCGGTTTGACGGATGGCATGCGTACCTCGCGGCGTACCATCATTTTTGCAACCCGAAGCAAGCGTCGCGTTCCGCGATACGTCAGGCACGTACCGCCAATCACGGCGATGGCGGTGTTAGTGTCCACGTGAAGAGCATCATGTATTGCTACACTAGGTAATCGGGTAACTGAACCTTGAATTGATGCCAAAGCGTCCTCTTCACCGGTTTGGGAGGGCGGAAAATGTTGCCGCCAGCGTCAAACTAGCCTGACACGCATGCAGTATCTACTTCCACGTGTCAGGTAGGATGTACCATGTGTCAGCATCAAACTAGCCTCAGACGTAATCCAACTCTGCCCTTTAGGCATCAGCCCTAGACTCGAGAGGCATCAACCCTAAACCCACCTCGGGTAGCATAGAGAAACGATGCGATTGGCTTCGGTACAGATGATCACGGGCATTGGCATAATTTGAGGGCACGATTCCTGTACATCACTTGGGCATTCGGATTATTATTCAGACGGGTAACCCTTTCTTACAAGCTCCTAGTGAGCCAAGGACTGCTTAGGGTTGGGTGCGGAGTCCATGGAGTTCCTTGCATAATCATTTAGGCAGCAAAGCAATATACATGGACCGTGCCCCAAAGTGATTCCCGACATTTTACACATCTTGGGGTCGAACAAGTTGGGTGATTTGGTTCGGATTTTGGGCCGTACCGCCTTCCAAACCGAACAGAACATAAGGACCACTTTTAATGCAAGTATGGTATGGCACGACCTGCATTGCGGTATTGGCTGCATCCTGCACACACATATTCAAAGTGCACCTCGGCCTATGAAACATTCTGCAAAGATATTTCTTTGGTTCGTCTCGATGGTGAGCCAAACCTGTCACGACGTGTCCCAACCTAGAGGAGTCAGGAC